CCTCATCAGTTATCCAACCTGTGGGAGGAGGCATTATTTTTGGAGGTGACCCATACTTCTCAGAGCGAGGCACTCTCTTCTTCCTTTTGGGTGTCCCGTACAGTACGTAGAAATCGAAAGGACGCCCAGATGGCTCCCCCAATAAGTCTACTTCGCGGACTCCCTCTTGATGTAGTTGCTTAAACAGAGTATTGCGTGATACTCCTCTCTTTTTCCTTTCTGCTTCTAGATCAATTTCTTCTTCAATGTCTGTCATCCCATCGTCCTCTTCATCGTTGTAGGCCTCTCCAGAAGTCTGGCCTTCTTCACACACCAGCACGCAGGCTTCTCCTTCGTTGTCCTCCCTCTCTTCTTCTTTTTCCTTATTTTTGAACTCATTGGCCAGTAGGTAATTATTGGCCATGACAGGAGGAAACGTACGGAATTGGATAGCAAGGGGCTCATCTGGATCTTCTTCATCCCTTTTGTCTCTTTCAAACCTTGATCTCCCAGAAGAGGTTTCTGGCAGTTCTTTCATTGATTCATCTGTACCAGTCTCTTTATTACCCTTTAAGACGTTTTGATTGGCTACCTTGAGTAGTAGAGGTGCTTTAGGGTGTGGCATTCCTTGTTGCTACCTCATCATTCGTCCGTAGTTTCGCTGGAAATGCCTTTGTTGAGTCCTAGTCATCTTATCGAAGGGTATTGCTCTTCCTGCAGTGTACTGGAATGAATGCCATACATTTGGCCGGCGAGGTTGCGGCCTAAATGTTCTTCCAACATCTGTTGGTCTGAACTGCCTTTCAAAAGGCGGTCCTCTATAGAATGATGTACCTCGTCCTCTACCAGGCTGAACGTTTGGGAAGAAAACAGGGCGACGAGGATGCTGCCATGTCTCTGGTTTCTCCGTGTTTCCATTTACTTCCCTTTTACACCTTGCACACAGGACGTCTTCGTCCTTTTTTGGTTCTTTTCCTTTGATACGTTCAAAGACGCTGGGATGTGGCCTAGGATCTTCTTCTCCGTCATCTATGACTAACTTGAATTTTGGTAACTTGTTCTTGAATCCAGATGTTACCATGTTTACTCTAAGTGGCTGTGGGAAAGGATTCTCGTCCACTGCCATCTTTTTCTTATCGTCGAACGTAATTCGTCCTGACTCAATAGCATCCTGCAATACGTGACGAAAAATCAAGCAATTGTTAGTCAAATATGACCATGCATTATGCCACTTACAATATTTTTTACCCTTTATTTGTTCAGGGTTTGGCAATTTGTGCTTATCGCTCAGTTTTATTTGCTTATCCCTGTATAACTTATCGAATATAAGGTCAGCTTTGGTTACATCGAACGAGAACGTTCTAGCCTTTATGTTTCCATACCTTATGGGCTCATCTTTGTCCGATGGTCTAGGCTTGGCCATTATGGGACAAGTATATGTATCCCCTTTTACTAATTCGACCAAACACATTTCGGCCTGATCGTACGATTCGTCATCGATGGTATGAACGTCAAAATTTGGGTCTCTGTAATAAGTCCCTTTGCTAGAATTTTTCATTTGTTCTTCTTCTCTTATCAATCGCTCATACCTAATGACATTCGCACTCAACTGGAAAAGGTCGGGAAATTCCTTGTCTTGGAACTTCTTTTTTAAATCAAAGCTCAAGCAGCCTTGTGCGATCTTGACAAATTCTTTTTCAGGCAAAGGTACAAAACACTTGCTTCTTGCTGTTTTGAACCTTTGGAGAAAACTTTCTGCCCATTCATTTGGCATTTGACGTAGATTCGTCAAATCAGCCAAAGTGACTTCAGATTCAGTTTTGTAAAACTGAGCATGAAACAACTGTTCCAGTTGTTGCCATGTTTGAACAGAGTTCGCTGGCAAGTTAATGAACCAGGAGAAAGCTACTCCTGTTAACGAACTAGGGAAAAGTCTCATTTTATGGTAATCGGTTACATCACCACTTTGCAACGTGAATCGCCCTATGTGTTCTAGAGTAGACACCTCTCCTAAACCAGTAAACAGTGAGAATTTTGGCACTTTGTACCCTCTAGGCCATGGATATGCTTGGTCTACCCAATCAGGATATGGCTTTCTGTAAGTCGGTCTAATGACAGGACGCACCCCAAAGGCCATCTGATCCTGCACGATTTCCATAATCTGATTTCTCAACATGATATTGGGATCATATGGAATTCCTACAGGCTGATTAATCGGTTGATTTGCATGAGGTCTGATGTTTGGTCCTTGATTGGCAACAAAATTACCATAATTAGGGCCATTACCATTAGCCTGGACATCTACCCCCTCGTTACCACGTGGAATATTCTG